GTGCATTGGTTAAGGAAAAAGTTCCTCATTTGCCCAGAATAAGTTTGGAGATGATAGTTTTCATCAGCTCTCATTTGGCAATCTGCTTTCCCAAGTAGGAAAATACATGGACCGTTCTGTAGAAATGGACAAAACCTTCAAGTTTAATAGTGGTACTGGGCTTTAAATTTACCTCATTTTTATTCAAGTGGTTTTCCCCTTAAAAGGGCTGTAAACCTAACAAAAGTCTGTTCAACAAATATGAACCAACTGTCTGTCGCCTGTTATGCTCCATGCTGGGTACTCAGGTGATGGCAAGGGCCTAAGCTGTAGCTCCGGTTGGCTCCTCTCATCACGGCTGCTTAGCGTGCTTGAATGTACTGTGTACTAGCTAAATTACATACATGATCTCAGTTATTTTTTGAGCTAAAAAGATTTTAGTTTAGTCCAAATAACATATCTGATAACAAATGAAGTAGTACGTAAGACATTTGATGTAAACGATTAGCCCCCTTCCTAATGCTTTTTACTCCCAGTTCCATTCCCAACTTTGTGACCATTTCAGTCATTTCTTCTGGTGGTTACTAATCCATAGTCTGACTGCTGCGCTTTTACCTTTACCTCCAGATACACCAACCTCAGGTACTCTCTACCGACTCCTAATATGAAGATGGGTGTGGCTTACCTATGGCACCCACTTTGTTTCTCTCGCTTTCAAATTTTGCTTTCTGATTTTAGTCCTGTTACTGTAACAGCTTTAATATTTTTTATCTTTATTTCCTATTTCATAATCATAGTCATTGTCTTGATTTCCCATTATATAAAGTGAGAATATTATTATCCTTACCTTCCGATTCTTATTTCTTTTTAAACCTGTGAGTTACTTATAAGACTTAAAATTCAGGTTGGTGCTTTATGTCAGTTTTTGGAGCTTTGTGAAGACCTATTTTCATTGATGTTTCATGGTGTTTGGAAATAAAAGGATATTCTCCAGTTGTTTTATGTCATTGTTGGTGTTTGTCCTTGAAATTGTTTGTAAACTGAGTTTTTTAGGTGTTGTTCCATCAACTACTAGGATAACTATGTTAAAATCTCCCACCATGATGGCGGATTTGTCCCTTTCTCCTTATGTTTTTGTGTATTTTTGCTTTTTGAAATTCTAATATTGGATGTATAGATTAGAATTGTTAGATCTGTTGAATTGACTGTCATTATCATGCATAAATCTTTATCTTCTGTAGAATATTTTGTCTTGAATTATATTCTGTCTGTCTGTCCGTCCTTACCATAGTCACATCTACTTTCTTCTGGTTATTTTTCTGGACCATTTCTTAAAAACTACTTTCTTTTTAATTTTTTTTGTCTCCTTATGTTGAGTTGTTTGAGGTAAACCACGTATGGCTAGATTTTAAAAACGTTTATTTTGAGAATGTAATTCATTTGCATTCATTTTGTGTGTACATATATGCATACACGTCTTCAAAATGGTCGAGGAAGATTCATATTATGAAGAAACTATGCAAGGATTTAAAAATTTTTTGTACCAGAAAAAACTTGTACTTCAGTTTTATTTTGTATGCACATTTTGAAGGCCCCTTTCATACACATATAAACACACACACACACATTTGGGTATATATATTTCTGGTCAACTTACTCTACACTTTAAATCTATCTTTTCATATTTCATGTTTCCCTTTATTTCTCTGTTTTTTCCTTTTGGATTAATAGAAGAATTTTTTTTTCTTACTCTCCTCCATCTGTCTTGAAAGCTGTATGTAGTTTTTCTGGTTGCTTAAATTTATCTTAAAATTTTTGGAATGCATACTTTAAAAAGTTGAAAATAATAATTTTTATCTTCATCCCTGAAGAAACAAAGACCTTAGAAGGCTTTAAGGTGGAGCAAATCAATCTCTCTGATTTACATGTTCTTATTGTCCCAAATTTTAGTTATGTTTTTGTTTTTCAACTCATAAATTAGAAATTGTTATTGTTTATAAAGCTAATATTTATTTATATTTACCCACCTTATATTTTATTTTCTTTGTTCACTATACATTTTTGTGTTAGACTTTCAGTATTTATTTCCATCTTCCTGAAGATACATGTCTTCTAGAAAATCTTTTAACAAGGGCCTATCGGTAATAAGTTCTCTCAGTTTTTGTCTGAAAATAACTTTATCTTGACTTCATTCTGAGTGATGACTTAATAAGAATTCACAAATTTAGGGTGACAGTTATTTTCTCTGAGCACTTTGAACATATTCTTCCACTCTTGCTTACTAGTTGTTGTAAAGTTATCTGTGCAATCATACGTCTGCTTCTGATAACCTGCCTTTTCTGCTGGATTTTGAATCTTCACCCTCGGTGCTCTGTATCTTACTGTAGTAGGTGTGGCTCTTATCAGTGTCAGGTCTGTTATTACTCAGCCTATCACAGCCTGTCACGAGATATTTACATTTGTGCTTTTAGTTTCCATTTCCAGAAGTTTTTGTTTAGTTCTTCAGTGGGATTGCCTGTCGGTTTTGATGGTCTCTCATTCCTTACCTTGTGATTCATTATGCTATTTCCAAGTAACTTAAAAGTCACTGTGTTTACCAAGACTGGAGAGTTGCTATCATTTCTGACTGCCTAAAGCTTATTTTTTTAAATTTTAATTACTTGCAAATTTTAAGTAAACCAAACATTTGCACTTTTATTGTCTGTATCAGAAAAGTAGAGTGCCTGAGAAAAACCTCATTTCATGGGACTCTGCGGTAAATGCTCTTCCTCTTCCTTCTCTAACATGGCACACAGAGGTACAAACCCTGAGTGCTGTGTGCATTGCACATTTTGTATTCTTTGCAGTGTTTGCCAGTGACAATCTGTATGTGATATTTTTGTTTGTTTGTTTTATTTTAACAGAATGCCCATAATGCTACGTAGTTCAAACTGTGTTCTTACAGGAAAAACGCCAGCAGAATTTGCCAAGTTGAACGAATGTCCTTTAGATCCAGGTATGTGTGATACTTCAGATTTGTCCCTCCACTGTTGCATTTTCCTTTTGTTATGATTTATAATGAACTTGGTAAAACTGTATTCAGAAGATGTCCAGTAATTTGGCTGATTTTGTTCTGTTACTCTGTATTTCAAAAAATGTTTACCCTTTCTTCTTTTACTTAAGATTTTAAATGCGAGTAGTCCAGGTTCTAATTTATCATGGTTTGTCAGTCTCATCTTTCTGTCTTTGCTTAACCATTTCTCTTGGTATACTTAAAAATTCAGGCATCATCTCCCAAAGTTACTAGTCTAGCCTGTTCTGAAGCAATTCAGGTAGCTCTTTTCAGGCTGTTTTAAATGCAGTAAAGAAGAGGAAATGAATCATTTTTGGTTTAATGTTTTAAAATGACATTTTAATGCTTATTTCTAGGCAGATTCTTTTCATAAAGTTCTAAAGTTAACACTTAACAGAAAGTTTCTCATAATTCCTTAACTCATGTCATATTGATTTATTTTTAACTTATAATTGTTTTAAGCTAATTTCTGTAGTATTATCTTGATGTAGAATCCTAGAAGTTTTTGGAAACAAGTTAATAAAGAACATAGCTTTACCCTACTGTAGGAAAATTTTGCTTAAGTCAAATAGGTTGCTTTGATTTTCCTTATATTCTGCAGGTAAAATGAAGTTCTACTTTGAAATGTGTGCAAAAAAAGTATAATAATGTTGTGTGAGTTTTACTGAGTACGAAATATTACTTTGGAAACCTAATCTTAGTCTATAATTGTCGTTAATTCGATAGAAAACATACAGCAAGTTTTCATGTATATTGAAGATTGTGGGATATTTTTGTACTTACATCTGAAGACTAATTTTTTTTCTGCCACGTATGTCAGGGATTTCTTGTCCTCAAGAAATGTATCATCTTATAGCTCATTTTTTAAAGAGTTATTATTTTTTTTATTTAGCTTTATTTATTTATTTATTTATTTTAATTTGACCAGAGAGGGACAGAGTGAGAGAGAAAGAGAGGGAAACTGAGAAAGCAAGTTGACAGGTCCAGGACTCGAACTATAGTCTATAGTCAGCCATGTGGGAGTCCAACACCCTTAACCACCATGCCACCTGCCGGCCTCTGGCTCATTTGTTTAAAATCATTTGCTAACACTGTCATCAGCCCATGAAATAATATTAGCAAAGCCCTTCAAATAAGTCTTAGCCAGTGCCATGAAGCAGTGGAAGGGAACTCCCTGCTGTTATTAAATCACACTGGTTAAAAACTAAGTGGTAAAACTTTTCTCGTTTCTTTGGACAGGTGGTTACTTCATTGTTAAAGGAGTTGAAAAAGTAATTCTTATCCAAGAGCAGCTATCTAAGAACAGGATCATTGTGGAGGCTGATCGAAAAGGGACTGTTGGAGCTTCAGTTACCAGGTATGGAAAGCAGGGATGGTACTTTTAAGGAATATTAATAATTCCATTAAGGCCAGATGGTGATCTTTTGATATGGAAGTAACCAGTAATGAGTATTTCTTTCTAATAGCAGGCAATGCAATTTTTAGACTGCCTGCATTCAATATGTTAAGTCTGTAAACCTAAAAATACCGATTTTAAAATTTCAGGATGAAAGTGTGAGATTTCATTTAAAAGGGCACTAAGTTGAATTTTCTCTTAATTTGTAATATTGAAGGAATTTTTAAAAGGAGAAAATATAAAACTACTTTTCAGTTTTTCTTTTTCTATTTTTAAAGAGGTTTTTGTCTTAGGGTACATGTGCTCACAGGAGAGAAAGATATTTAGCAGGAAAGTGAGAAATCACCCCTTGGGGGGGAATAGCCATGCCACAATCCCTTCTCTTCCATTTTCCTTTCCGAATCTTGGGCACACCCGCATACTCACCTGGCATGAGTTTCAAACCACTGGGTCTAGGACTTGAAACCACTGTCAGCCATATGGGAGTCCAGTGATGTAACTGCTACACCATCTGCAGACCAGCAGTTTTTCATACTCCTTTCAGTCTTTGACCTTTTGTACGTGTATTCTTTTTTTTTTTTTTTTAAGAATTATTTTTTTATATAACTATTTATTTTTAAAATCTGACCAGAAAGAGAGAGAGAGAGAGAGAGAGAGAGAGAGAGAGAGAGAAAGCAAGCTGCCAGGTCCAGGACTCAAACTGTGGTCAGCTGTGTGGGAGTCCAGTGCCCCAACCACCATGCTACCTGCTGGCCCCTCACATGTATTCTTATATTGGTAAAATCAGAGACTGTTTTACACTAAATAGTTAATGAATTGGGCTAACAGATGGTGCGATTAGGGCACTGGATTCCCATATCGCTGACTGGTTTAAGTCCTGGATCTGGTGACTTGCAGTCTCACTTTCCCTCTCTTTTGCTCACTCTCTCTCTAGTGAGCACATGTGTCCTGTAGCAAATTTTAAAACAATAATAAATAAGATGAAAGAAATTTTTAAAAAGAAGTTAATGAATCATATCATGGACTTTACATCTTATTATTAATTTTCTAGATCAGATTCTTTTACAGTGTACTAGTTTTATGTAACAACATCTCATATCACTTCTACAAGTTCTTTTTTCTGGTTTGTTATCATATGTAATTTGAAATGTGGAGGTTAATAAAGATTCGTGACATTGATAAGATGTCAGTGTGCAAGGGAGTTTCTCTTCTGCCACAACCTACAATAAACTTACCAACACCGAGTTTCTGCATTGTTCTTTCTGATAGAGAGGCAGCTGGCAGCCATGGCATTCGTTGAGCATACACCAAGAGCCAGGCAATGTGCTAAGTACTTTACATAGACTATCACCGCAGTCCTTCAAGATAAGAGGTTTCATCTCCATTACAGCCGAGTTACAGACCTGGAGCCCGGCACCACCTCAGTTGTAAACCCTAGCTAGCATTTGATTCTGTAGTTCATATCTCTCCACTGTAACAACTCTGGAGCCGTGGCAGTCTGGATTTGGATCCCAAAGGTGTGTTCTAGCTATGAGACATTGGAGAGCATTTACTTAACTTCTTGATTTCCTCATGTGTGGTTTGGAGATCACATTTCAGAGTGAATGTTAGGAAGGAGATAAGAGCTAATACATGTAAAGTGTGTCCCAATGTATAGTATTTAGTGAGAAATCAGTAAGTTATCATTGTGGTTGACCAGAGCTTTTGAAATGCTCCCAAGTCCATTAGTCATTTAAAACTAATATATATAAATAAAAATATTAATGTTAATAAGACAGAGAAAGATAGGAAGAATGCAAGAAATCACCCCCCGGGGGATGGCCATACTGCAGTCTTTTGTCCTTTTGGAATTTTGGGCACCCATATGAATGCACCTGGTGTGATTTTCAAGCTGTCAGGACCTAAACTATCGTCGGCCGTGTGGGAATCCAGCACTTCAACCACTGTGCCACCTGTTAGCCCCATAACTAATATTAATAGAGGTACCAGTAGAAGAATATTCCTTACTGTCTTTTGCTTTCACTTGTACCAACACTGTGGGTATGTTTTATTGAATTGTAAATTTTAAAATTCATTCATTTATTCACTGTTTTCTTGTTATGATTTAGGTCTATTTGGAGGTTTTCCACTTCAATTATATAAAATTGGCCATGAATATATGTCCTATACTGTATCAAAGTAATTCAGGTGGAATCAAATAAGACAGGAGATTGTCACTTATTCACCCACAAAAATCTACACAAGTCTAAAGCTGAAGTAACATTTACTGTGCTTTTTCATGTTCGTGAAAGTGGCAACAGAGCAGAAAAGGGGTTTGTGCATGTTCTAAAAAGCACTCATTAGAAGGGACCTTGCTGTTGGTGCAGTAAGTTGAACTTTATTGACTGTTGATCACTGCTTTTGCATGTTACAAGCTTGAAACTGAGGATGGAGTTTAACCAGCTATGTTTACTTACAGCTCTACCCATGAGAAAAAAAGCAGAACCAACATGGCTGTGAAACAAGGAAGATTTTATTTGAGGCATAATACTTTGTCAGAAGATATACCTATTGTCATCATATTTAAGGTGAGGCCACAGCTCTCTACTGAAAGTTATAAAGAATTCTTTTTTGTTTTCATATGTAATTAGAAATTTGAAGGATAAGGAATTCTAGAAATAGAAAGATTTGTGTCAAAGATAAATTGTCAGTCATCTGCTGTATTTTAAACTGTAATTTAATAAAAATGAGGTTCATGTATTTAAAAAATAATAGTTACCTATTTAGGAAAAAAGAATAGAGATTCCATAGGTCCAGCCACAGTGGTGCAATGGTAGCATAGCAATCCGCTGTGCTGGAAGCCATATGGAAGATCAGGGTTTATTTTCAAGATCAACCTGTACATGCCAGGTACATGTTCCTGCCTATGATCTTGGATGAAACGCTGTGGGGAGGGATCCTGGCACGAGATCCTGTTGAAGATGCTTTTCTCTGGCTCACTCTCATGAAATAAACTTAAAAAATAGGTACACCATAAAAATTCCAAAAGTACACAAGGGTATATAGTGATGACTAAGCTTCTCATCCTCTCTACCTAGCGACATAGTTCTCCTACTTAGAAATATCACTATTCATAGTTCTTTTCAAGAGATAGTTTTGATATGCAGGGATACCTCACTCATTGTGGGTTTGGTTCTAGACAACTGCAACAAGGTGAATATTGAAATAAAGTGAATTGGGACCAGCAGTTGGCATAATGGCCTTGTCACTGGACTCCCACGTTGTTGACCGCGGTTAGAGTCCCGGACCCAGTGGCTTAAACTCATGCCGGGCGTGTGTGCGTGCCCAAGATCCTGAGAAGAGAATGAAAGAGAAGGGACTGTAGCGTGGCCATACCCCTTGGGGGGTGATTTCTCGTTTTCTGTCTCTCTGCCTGTCTCTGTTTTTCTGGTGAGCGCACGTGCCCTATAGCAAAAACCTCTCCGAAAAAAGAAATAAAGTGAGTCACATTAAGTTTTTTGTTTCTTCGTGCATATAGAAATTATGGTTACACTCTATGGTAGTTTAGTAACGATATAATAGGATTATGTCTGCAAAAACAATATTGGGTCATTAGAAAAGTCATGACACATTTTTGCATAGAAAAATACATCACGACTTTTCCAACAATCCAATACAGACCTTAATTAAAAATACTTCATTGCTAAAATGTTAAAGATTGTCTGAGCCTTCATCCCCCCCAAAAAAACAGTGCATGAATTAAAAAAAAATTTTGTACCAATGTAAACTCATACTTTAATTCTATTTTGTCATGAACTTTTTTTTGGAGAGGTTTTTGCTATAGGGCGCGTGCACTCGCCAGAAAGACAGAGAGAGACAGAGAGACAGAAAGTGAGAAATCATCCCCCCAGGGAGAATGGCCACGCCATAATCCCTTCTCCATTCTCCTCTCGGGATCTTGAGTACACACGCACACGCGGCCGGCGTGAGTCCAAGCCACCGGGTCCGGGACCTGAACCACGGTCGACTACGTGGGAGTCCAGTGACATAGCCATTACGCTAACTGCTGGTCCCTCATGAACTTTTAAAAGTCATCTTGTGTTAGTACATGCAAACCTACTGCATTCTTTTTGAGAAACCTTTTCATTTGTGAGTAAACCATAATGTGTCCAGTGAGTGGATATATACTTCTCTTACCATTACAGAACTGCTATAATATCATGTCATATGTAGGTAAGGATATCTTTAGGCTAAATTCTTAGCAGTGGAATTTCTAGGCCAAACAGTATTGGCCAAGTTTGTTATTCTTTTTTATGGACTCATAGATTCTGGTGAGTTTCTTTTTTCTTTTGGAGAGGTTTTTGCTATAGGGTGCATGCACTCACCAGAAAGAGAGAGACAGAAAGTGACAAATTACCCAGAAGGGGTAATGGTTACACTGCAATCCCTTCTCCTCCATTCTCCTCTCAGGATCTTGGGCACAATACACACATGTGCCCAGCATGAGTTTAAGCCACTGGGTCTGGGACTTGAACCATGGTCAACTACATGGGAGTCCATTGACATAGCCATTACGCCAACTGCTGGTCCCGAGTTTCTATATAATTATAAATCTTCAATCTGCAACTCATTTTTTTTTCCAGTTTGTGAATTATTTGTTTAGAACCTAAAAGACATTTCCTATACATATAATGTTTATTTGATGGCATAGTCGTCTCAGATAGTTGTGTCGTAGCCCACTGAACCTGCTCTGAGATGTAAATATTACATCTATGAATACTTAACTTGCAGTACAGTAGCAGTCACTAAGCAGAATGAGAAACACAGCTGGCGTCATGTCATACAGCCAATCCTCGGTATTCTTGGACTCCATATTTGCGAATTTGCCTGCTTAGCAAAATCTGTTTGTAACCCTACATCAGTATTTGTGGTGCTGCTGTGATTATTCATGGAGGTGCACATGAGCAGAGTGGTGGGGAATTCGGTCACAGCAATGTGCTCGTTCCCAGCTGAGGTCGAACAAGGCGGTTTTCTGCCCGTCTGCTTCAGCTCCCTTACCACAGACAGGTGTCCTTCTTGTAGTCTGTTTAATGCCATGGTTTTTGTATTTTTGTGATTTCTGTTGGTGATTTTGTCATATACTGAGGCCTTCAGATGTGGTGCTAAAGTGCTGTCCGTTATGTCTGAGCACAGGAAGGCTTTATGTGCCGTATGGTGAACGTACTTGCCTTGTTCAGCATGAGCTGCAGTGCTGTTGGCTAAGAGTTAAATGTTAATGTGTCAGCAACATATGTCAAGAAGGTGTTTTTAAATGAAGCACATGTAAAATAAGGTTCTGTATTGATTAGTTAAGGAAAATGTGACCACAGGCTCACAGGAAGCTAACCTGTATTTCTCCTAGGAGCAATGGTCAGCGTTCATTAATTCTGTGTAATTCAGCAACTTTACAGAACACAAGTAAGAGGATAACAAGAAGTGACTGTGGTTATAAAGTGAATCTTCAGGACTAGCTCCTTTGAAATAAAGAGCTCAGGTTGTTGAAGAGAGATTGGGTACTTCAGATAATATGAGAGATTGGCAGTACTCATTCATCATTATTCAGTTTCACTTCAAAATTAAATATTTTTGTTCAAGAGTTGTTATGGAAATATTTTTTGGTCACAATGAAAGCAAATAGGAAGCGATCTTATAAGGCAGAATTAACAAATTTATTTAAAAAGGCAAACCATCTGGGTATAAACTTCAGAAGAGTAAGAATGAAGGAATAAAGTATTTACTGTTGAAGTTGTAACCGGGTGAGAGAGACTAGGAGTCAGTGAGGAAGGTCAGCTGGTGGTGGGGGGCCAGGGAGCTCCTGGTTGTCCGTAGGCATTGAACAGATGGCAAGTCAGGTTGCTGAACTCAGAAAATGCCCATCTTCTTCTTTTTTTTTTTAAGAGAGATTTTTGTTATAGGCTGCAGGTGCTCGCCAGAGAGACAGAGAGAGATGGAGAGAGAGAAAGTGAAAAATCACCCCGCAAGGAGCATGACCACACTGCAATCCCTTCTCCTCCATTCTCCTCTCAGTATTGGGGGCATGCATGCATGTGTGCCCAGCACGAGTTTCAAGGAACTGGGTTCGGGACCAGAGCTGTGATCAACCATGTGGGAGTCCAGTGCCTTAACCACCGTGCCGTCTGTTGACCCCTTACCTACAAGGACTTGTTATATTGTAATCCGCTTTCCCTGGTCCTCCAGGTCCTCAAGATCTTGTGTCAACGTGCACACTTGGATTGCGTTTAGGCAGACCTGGGGCTCCAACATGTAGTTGGTCACATGACTTTCAGCACTGCAGTCCCTCCTGCTATGAACTGTGCCACCTGAGCTGAGCCAGGAGGTATCCAAGTTGTAAGGACATTTTTTTCTAAGATTTAGTTTAGCGTAATGTGCTTTCAAGTTCTATTTTTTTTTTTTTCAGGGTGACGATGATAATCATCGAATCATAGTAGCAATATCATTTTATCTGGGATTACAGAGAGAATCTTAAATATGTATGTTTTTATTTCCTTTCCTCTTGGTTTATGATTTTTAAGCACAGAAGTAATTTTATTTTTCTTGGAGGAGGCCACAGTGCCCCATGCAATGTCGCAGGTAGCAATACAAAGTGAGGAATAAAGAGAATTTTGTCTGCTAATGTAGAATTGCTTCTCCAGCAGAGGGCAGTATGTTCCCGTGTATCCAAAGGACTTTTTTTTTTTTAAGTCACTCATGCAGAAAATGCATAACTAGGTGCATTCATTTCTTTTTAAACAGTAGAATTAACATAATCAGAGAACTTTTAAGTACTCTTTTTTTTGTTTAAGTGACAAAAGTTTAGTAAGACAACTTCTGTAAAATGTGTTTAATATTTATGTTGTAAATATATACACATATATGACTTACTTAAATTCTTTTTAGAATGGGGTATAAATTAATATACATATTTATGTAACCAGTAGTTGAGATTTTAGATTTCTCCCTTTCTGATAACAGTCTCTGTATCATAAAAACTTAGAAAGCCATTAAAAAGTATGGCTATGTTTTTTTCCTATGTTTTTGTTATATACATAGCAATTTTAGTATTATTTTTTTTTTAACTTAACAGTGTGTGGTGAGTAGCCTATAGATTTACAAATACGAATCTGTACCATTTTTTGTACCATGTATTATATAAAAAAAATTTTTTTTTGGAGAGGTTTTTGCTATAGGGCGCATGTGCTCGCCAGAAAGAAACAGAGAGATAGAAAGCGAGAAATCACCCCCCCGGGGGGAATGGCCACACTGTAATCCCTTCTCCTCCATTCTCCTTTTGGGATCTTGGGCACGCATGCACACGCGCCCGGCGCGAGTTTTAAGCCACCGGGTCGACTACATGGGAGTCCAGCGACATAGCCATTATGCTAACTGCTGGTTCCCCTTATATAAAAGTTTTGTGCATGAAGTGTAATTTATTTAACCAGTTTCCCATGGTGGGACATTTAGGTGTCATTCCTCCCCACACACAAGTTTTCACTGTATGTGCAACCTTGGGGTGACCATCCTCAGACAGACGTGTTTGTGTACACTTCTTATTATTTTGTGAAACTATTCATAGTAGAAGTGTATCGTTCTTAAAAGAACTTTGTATACATTGCCCGATTGATCCTGAAGCTGATTTGTTTTATTTTAAACAGTAGAATTAAAACAAATATTTAAAACTTTTAAGTTTGGATTAGTGGACTGAATATTTTGGCCATACATACTCATCTTTTGATCATCTACCTTAGGAGGTTTCAATAAAACGGTGCAGACTTACTCGATAAGCACCGATTAGACTTTACCGTCTGGGAGGCAGCATGAAGCGCCGTGTGTCCTAGAGTAAGACAGGTGCATCCCAGCTTCCCCTCCTGTTAGCTCTGTGACCTTGGGCAGATTTACCAATTTCTTTGAGTCTTGGATAACTCATCTGTAAAGTGAGGATTTTACCTAAGAGGGTTATTGTGGAGAGCAAATGAAACTGTGATTTTTTTTTTGTTGTTGTTAAATACAATAACTGGAAATAGGATATTCCCTCTCGTTCCTTAGTTCTCCTTCCCCATTTACTGTCAGGAGCCCGAGAACATAAACTGAGATACCAGAAAGGACTCCTCATTTCTCTTTCTGTGTTGTGTGGCCCTAATGCAGACCTTGACAGTCATTAGGCCTTGATGGTTGTTGGTTATAACCAACAATTGGCTAAAAGTGACAGACACAGCAGGGTTCCTAGATTCCTGCGGAGTCTGAATATGACGGATGAAGCTTGTAAGGCAGAGATCAGCCTTATTTATGGACTTGAATCACTACAAAGGTTCTCCTGCCCATGAATCTTCTCCACTTTACATTTTGTATTCCCAACTGTTGAGTAGTTATGCTATCAGGGCATCTGAGGTTTAAAAGATTTTGTGGAAAAGAAGATCAGATTTCAAGGGTGCTGGACAGTGTTTCCTGGAAACTGAGATGGAAATTTAGAATTTTTAGAGAAAAAATGACTAAGTTTAAGAGAATCATTACAATTCTCTTATCTGCCAGGGCTGCTCTTTGTAGTAATAGATTGACTTTAGTCTACTTTAAAGAAAAATTAGAGTTTTCTGAATATTAGAATTTTTTAAAAGAAAGCAGTCCCTTTTTGACCTTTACGTAATGTATTATAAGACATCGCATTGGTGTGTATATCATTCTCTTCCGCTTATTGGTATTGAGGGTTTTTTCTGTCTTTAAAAGTCACTTTTAATCACACTTTTTGGATATCTACGAAGATTTTATACCACTTTTTTAAAAAATACCTCCCTTATTTTTATTCAGTGTTAATGCTGATCAACAGACTGTGGGTAACCTTCTGCTGAAATGTATTTTCTCTGCTGTTTTTCATAAGGTTATTACGTAGCATTTACTTTTTGACTTACTAGTTAGGAGAAATGATTTTAGATATCTAGAGTTCAGATAACAAAGAGTTCCGTATAAAGCCAGTTTTCAGATGTCTAAATTATGTCTGTAAAGCAAAATGGTTGGGCATTTTGCTGTCGTTTCCATGGCAACAGGTCATTTATCTGTAGCTGTGACTACCGAAGGCTAAATAGTCATAAAGTCAGTTCAGTCTTTGCAGCTGGAGCACTTTGATGATAACTTGACTGAGTTATCGCCCCGGTATTTAGTGACTCGATATAGGAAGAGTCTAGTCTGTTTGGAGGAAGACTTTGGCAGTAATCATGCTTTCTGCACATGTGGTGTCATTTACCATGTGCTTGGCATAGCTTTGCTTCCTCGCTTAGACATATTTGGAGGCCCTAAACAGTCTGTTTAGATCCTTGTTATGCCAATAGAGGATTCTGGCAGTTATAAAATCACTACTGAGGTTAAACATCAGGTCCACTAGAAGTGGCAATTCCTAAATCAAATGAGGGAGGATTTTTCATTATCACTAAACACCAAAGTAGGCATCAATTTTATACTCTTTTTTTACTTGGGGATTACTGAAATACAAATTATTACGTAATCTAGGTGGTCTTCAGTTCACATGACTTAGATGTTAACCTCCCTAAGGAACGGGAGCTGATCCAGAAAGCACCTGCCCTTTCTGCAGTAGAGTTCTCTTTCTCTCTGACCGGCTCCTGCTTGGTCGTTTTGCATGCTTGGTTTGGTATCTGTCACATATGCTCACTTAGTGTTTGGGCTTTCCTTTTCACAGTGAAATGCATTGGTTAAAAATTTTATATCAAGGGTTTTAGAGGAGCTTGATTGGAATCTCTTACAGATTACTTACCTTAACATTGTTTTTCTTCTTGGGTTGTCAGAAAAGTCATGACATATTTTTCTATGATTTTCTTTGTGAAAATGTGTCATGACTTTTCCAATGACCTGGTGTATTTTGAGTTCCTTGAAATCCACATAGCACCATTTTGAAAGATTGACAAGTAAAAATTAATTTATGCCATTATCAGCTTTTCCCTGAGAAAAAGTCTGTTACAATATTGTGACTGGCTACAAGTCACCATGTAGTGTCTGTTGGTCAGGAACTTGGAGTTGCTTGACCAGGTGGTTCTCGCCCAGTCTTGCAGGAGTCAAGATGTCAGCCAAGCTACAGTTGGAAGGTCTGCATCTGCAATGCTCTCCCACGTGGTTGGTGACAGAAAGCCTTGTGCCCTTGCTGCCTGTTAGCAAGTGGCCATACTTCCTCCCCACTGGAACTCCTTGAGAGTCTTCATGACTGGGCAGCCAGCTCTCCCCGGAGTCAGCACTTGAGGGGTAGAAGCAGGAAGCCACAGTGCGTGTGTACATATGTACTCAAAATCCCAGCTTAAAAACTACAGTTGGCCTAAAAGAGACATAGCATCCTTTTATTTTCCCCCTAAATCTTTAAAACTTTCCATAAGTTTACATCCGGTCCTAAAGGATCCAAATCAAACTCAGACTCCAGACCACTGAAGATCAGATGTGGAATCATAGAATTCTGAGCTGGAAAGGACCTGGTCATGCCACCTCATTACACAGATGAGGAACCCGACGTAGAAGAGGCCACGTGAAGCAGTAGGTGTAATGTGTGTCTGCTGTCATTACATTAAGACACACCTCCGATGTGATGTTCTGCATTGCAACTTGAGGTTGGATTTTCCCTTTCTTTCTGTGTGGAGAGAACTAAGAACCAGAGCCTCAAAGCTTAAGTAGACAATTACCCTCTGATTCTGTCTTCTCTGCACAGCTAAGGGAGAAATTATAATACAAACACAACTTTTCCCCTAACTTCTTAGAAGCAGATTATTACTCTGCCAGGAGAGGTTTAGTGACATTGCGATCTGTTTCTTGAGATGGCAGAATTCCAGGCAAATGTGCAAAGGGGTGAGCCTAGTACCATATGGAATCTACAGAGATGCATGGCTGCTGCCACCTTGAAACACTTACGTGGGGTACTTAAACCTGTTAAGTGTGTTTTTAGTTTTGAAAAATCTCTTTAAAACTGGCATAAGTTATGGTTTGATAGCTCTAATGAGATAAAACATCCTCTAGAAAAAAATTCTTTCAGCTTGAATGTAAATGATTTGTTAATTTTCAGAAAAAAAATTAATCTGTGACAAAACTAATTGGGGTTCTGTTTGTTTTCAGTAATGCATATTCTCTGACTCACTGCCTTTGACTGTTTTTCTGTTTAGTTTCCCTTCGAAATTGTAGCCAGTTGTCTCCACTCTACCTTCCAGCCACATTTTTTTATAATGAAGCTTGTAGATTATTTTAAAATTTGAGTCAGCACTTGAGGGGTAGAAGCAGGAAGCCACAGTGCGTGTGTACATATGTACTCAAAATCCCAGCTTAAAAACTACAGTTGGCCTAAAAGAGACATAGCATCCTTTTATTTTCCCCCTAAATCTTTAAAACTTTCCATAAGTTTACATCCGGTCCTAAAGGATCCAAATCAAACTCAGACTCCAGACCACTGAAGATCAGATGTGGAATCATAGAATTCTGAGCTGGAAAGGACCTGGTCATGCCACCTCATTACACAGATGAGGAACCCGACGTAGAAGAGGCCACGTGAAGCAGTAGGTGTAATGTGTGTCTGCTGTCATTACATTAAGACACACCTCCGATGTGATGTTCTGCATTGCAACTTGAGGTTGGATTTTCCCTTTCTTTCTGTGTGGAGAGAACTAAGAACCAGAGCCTCAAAGCTTAAGTAGACAATTACCCTCTGATTCTGTCTTCTCTGCACAGCTAAGGGAGAAATTATAATACAAACACAACTTTTCCCCTAACTTCTTAGAAGCAGATTATTACTCTGCCAGGAGAGGTTTAGTGACATTGCGATCTGTTTCTTGAGATGGCAGAATTCCAGGCAAATGTGCAAAGGGGTGAGCCTAGTACCATATGGAATCTACAGAGATGCATGGCTGCTGCCACCTTGAAACACTTACGTGGGGTACTTAAACCTGTTAAGTGTGTTTTTAGTTTTGAAAAATCTCTTTAAAACTGGCATAAGTTATGGTTTGATAGCTCTAATGAGATAAAACATCCTCTAGAAAAAAATTCTTTCAGCTTGAATGTAAATGATTTGTTAATTTTCAGAAAAAAAATTAATCTGTGACAAAACTAATTGGGGTTCTGTTTGTTTTCAGTAATGCATATTCTCTGACTCACTGCCTTTGACTGTTTTTCTGTTTAGTTTCCCTTCGAAATTGTAGCCAGTTGTCTCCACTCTACCTTCCAGCCACATTTTTTTATAATGAAGCTTGTAGATTATTTTAAAATTTTAGAAAATAGTACACTCTTTTTTTTTTTTTTTAAGTGCTTGAGAATGTTTGTTTTCCTCTTCCTAATCAAAATTTCTGTTTCAGGTTCTTCTGCAGCTTGGGCTATGGCTGCCAGTGCCAGATGGCACCGTGTCTGAGGGAAGAGCTAGCTTCTGCTTAGAAGTAATACCCACCAACAATGCCAGATTAGCATAAGCAAATGTCAGTGAGTTAACACAAAGCCAACACTCTTTCTATCTTTTCTTTCCTTCCTAGGCCATGGGTGTTGAGAGTGACCAGGAAATTGTGCAGATGATTGGAACAGAGGAGCACGTGATGGCTGCATTTGGGCCCAGTTTGGAAGAGTGCCAGAAAGCTCAGATTTTCACACAGATGCAGGTGTGTCTTTTCATGTTGTCCTTTGCTATGAACTGGAATTGGAGATTTAATGCTGCTCATTGAGAAAGCATTGGATGCAGTGGCTTTGAGGGTTGTACATTTGGGAAGGATGTTGGGGAGATGGGAGGAGTGGTAGACAAGTTTCTTTGACTAATTATTTGGGGGATTGGAGGAAGGAGTTTGCTTACACAAATAATCAGCCTGTGGTCTATGACTTAGATGAAGGATATGTGGCCTAGGGGCTTTTGTTCTGATGTATAATAAGATAACCCTTTAATCTTTCCTTATTTGCCTGAGTGATAATATTTTTAAAAACTTAACAACTTGGGGATGGCAGATGGCATGGTGGTTAAGGGGACTGGATTCCCACATGGCTGACTGTGGTTTGAGTGCCGTACCTGGCAGCTTCCTTTCTCTCTTTCTCTCTCTCTCCCTCTCTCTCTGTCTGTCTGCTCAAATTAAAATAATAATAATAACAACAAATGGGATTAAATAAATATTCCTTTAAAAAAAAAACACAGACATACTCTAGAAGATTTGGGTTATTTCTCCCATCTCATATATTCCTTTCCGGTATCCCTTTTTATTCCCTACTTCTCTTCCTTTAGGCATCCAGATGTGTGTGGTCTCTATCCCTTTTCCTGAATTGCCAGTGTTACTTCAGGTAACAAGAACGGCCAGAAGCAGCCCTTTTTCACCACTGCAAAGCCTTTGTTGACCTGCTTAGGCACTCCTAGATCAAACTTGGGATTTGGAGACAAGATTCAAAGATGAACATAGGGAGCCATATGTATACTAAACATGAGGAAGAACATAGGGGGCCGTATGTATACTAAACATGAGGAAACATGATTGCAGGGGGAGGAGTCCTAAGCCTCCCTTAGGATTTTTAGTACCCTGTTAGTAAAGTGCTTTGCTAAGTATAAGTCAATGGTACGTTCCTCTCGGCCATCCTGGGAGGTAGAAATTCCCTACTCAGAACCACAGTAGACTGTTCTTACTTGTCTGTGTATACATTGTCTATTCTGTGGGCTACTTATGACAAGATAGATTCCAGCATGTTTTTTTTTTTTTTGGAGAGGTTTTTGCTATAGGGCGCGTGCGCTCGCCAGACAGACAGAGAGAGACAGAGAGATAGAAAGCGAGAAATCACCCCCCAGGGGGGATGGCCACGCTGCATTCCCTTCTCCTCCATTCTCCTCTCGGGATTTTGGGCACGCACGCACATGCACCCGGCATGAGTTTTAAGCCACCGGGTCCGGGACGTGAACCGCGGTCGACTACATGGGAGTCCAGCGACATAGCCATTACGCTAACTGCTGGTTCCCAAATTCCAGCATGATTTTTTCATGTCACCTAGGATGCTTATAGATAGTATTTCCCCCACTTATCTCTTAGTACTACTGAAAGGAAATCAGTTTTGATATTTTTGTAGATTCAGCTGACATTTAGGAAAGTTAATTGTCTTAGGTAAGTCTGTAATAATCTAAAATATAAATCAGTAGATTATTCTCATCACTGCCTTCCTCTTTTTCTAGAATTAGTCAATGGTTGCTTCTGGTTATTGACTGGTAGCATCAGGAAAAATCGTTTGGATTTAGGAGATTCTATATTTGATCTTTGTTAAAAGTGAAACATTTGTTAGGCGTGAAGCTCTGTTGAAAACTGAAATATTGTCCAAGGGTTCCAGGTGCATGAAGAGAAAGCATTAAGAAGTATCCAAGAAATAGAAAATTCGGTATCTACCCTGTGAATAGGAATAGTTGGTTCAGTCGGGGAGATGTGCTGTTCTTGAAAGCTGTGTATGGCCTGGAAGAGCAGTTTACTTTAACGGTACCCCAGTGCATCAGTGAGAGCCACCATGCATTTTATTACAGCAGCATCACTGTTACTCACGTAACACTAACATCATAAAGGTGTTTGAGAAGGGGCTAACAGTGGATCTGAAAATCATTCACTTATTTCTGTTAAGTAGGTACTGGCAGAAAATGTGAGCTAATTGGATTAGATAAGATCATTGAAAAGTTGGAGGGAAAGTCTAGTTAGTTAAGGTACAAAAGACAAATGTTCCTTCTCTCCAAATAGGAAGCCTAACTTGGAAAGTGCTTGTACTCTGTATGCTGGATTAAGGGATGGATCAATTATTTGCAATTTATAAAAGGATGCAGAGGCACAAGTATAATGTATCTACCGTGGTTGAGACATTGAACTATAACACGTGAATATTAGTGCCATTCTAAATGAAAATGTAGCGAGAATGCTTTCTCTTACGGCAACTTTTGAAGATATATCACGCAGTTTCTTAAAACCTGTAGGAATTTTTTGTTTGTCTATTTGTTTACTGTTTATATCTCCCTTTTTAGTCTCTCCACCATTTCCTCTGTTCAGGAAGCTTTCACTCTGTATTAGTTGTATGTGTTTGACATCATCATTGCCCTGGGCTCCTGTGTAGAGGAGAAATTATTCATTGCCTTCCGAGGTGGAGTTAGGATGTGGCAGGACTGTCATTTCTGCCTATTTGTGAAAAGGCTGGGCTCTTACTGCAGTCTTTACACTGAAGCTCTGGCGACATTGCTAAGTATTAGAGGGAGAGGCTGACTTTCTGCTACAAATCAGGAAAGATGCTTGCTCCCCTGGGTTCCTCCATTCTTCCTCAAAGTGAAAAATCTTTAGCCCTTTTCCCAAGGGAATAGAAGATCAAATTTTAATGAATATTATTTGGTTTAGAGATAACCAAGCAGTCTATCTGCTGTGGTTCCCTCCAACCTTTAGTTTTACTGAGTTACAACTTACTACTAGGTCACTGCAGCAGGTGTTTTCAGAGTCCTATTTTATCTTGTAGCCTTTAACAGGGAAGATCTAGATTTGATGTCTGAGTCTTATCACCGGGATGATACAGTACTAGTCAAGGAGAGTCAAAGATAAAGTGGGGGGGTAGGGGTGGGGATAGGAGGTGCTGGATGGTTGCTGAGCAATAGCAGCACACTCTGCAGAGCTGATCCACCCTGGAGAGTTCTGGGTTTGTGTTTGGAGACCCCTCTGAGTATGCCAGCAAATGCATTCCATAATCATGGCTGGCCAAAGCTAGGGGTGGATCATGGCATCCAGACCATGTTGAGGATGCTGTCTGTATGTCTCTCCCTCTCTTACTCATGAAAAAGATAGATAAAAAGAGGATGATGTTTCCACCCTCACAGTCTAGTGAGAGAAATAGACCTATAAGTATATCATTAAAGTATGGTTGATGTGAGCACAGGGCAAGTACTCCATTCTGTGTGCATGAGAAACTACATATCACAGAAAGAGAAGTGGGTTAGGAGAGGCTTCTGAGAGAAGGTGATCTCTGATCTAGGTTCTGAAGTGTGGAAAAGGAATTTCTTGAGCAGGTAATTGGGCCACAGATTCCAGGCTAAAGAATCAGAGATCCCAGCCCTTTCTTCGGAGACAGTAAAAACCAGTTGTTTTAACAGTACATTGGGCATGGTGGCACTCGCCCTGTGACAAAAACTATCAGATGCTGAAGGAAGAGTATATTGTTATCACACGGTTATAAGAACTGCATGATCCTCCTCTTCTTTATTAATAAACTCAGTTGTGTATATAACTTATTAAATTAGAACTGCCGAACCTTTTTCCAAAATGATTATACCATTTTGCATCCCACCAGCAGAGTGTAAGTTCTAATTGCTTCACATCTTCACCAGTATTTGGTCATCAGTCTTTTTAAGTTTAGCATTCTAGTGGATGTGTGGTGGCATCTCATTGTGGTTTTAATTTTCCTGATGGTGAATGATTTTGAGCACTTTTTCATGTGTTTGTTGGTTATTGGTCCTTTATTCTTTGCTAAGTGGTCAGTTCATTTGGTAATCTTTGTATCGAACTGTTTATCTTATTATTGAATTTCAATGTCATTTTTAAAAAATTTTGGATATAAACTCCTTGTCAAATTTACAATTGCAAATATTTTCTCTTTGTTCATTGCTTCCCTATTTGTTTTCTTTACCATGTATTTTAATTAAAAAAAAATCTAATTATCAAGAAGCTTTGTTTGTCTTATATGGTTATTAGTATTTGTATCCAGTTTAATAAAATCATTGCCTACCTCAAGGTCAGAAATGTATTTCCCTGTTTCTTCTAGAAATTGTATAGTTTTCGTTTTTATATTTAGGTCTAACAATTCATCTGAAGCTAATTTGTTTATTCAGTGCAAGGGAGGGGTTACTTTTTTTTTTTTCTTTTTTGCCTGTTTAGTTGTTTCAACACATTTGCTGAAAAGTCTTTCTCTTCCTCTTTAAATTACTTTGTCGCTTTTGTCAAAATGAATTAACCAACTGTATGGGCTTATTTCTGTTTGTTCTCTTCCATTGATCTCTTTGTCTATCCTTAGGACAGTATCATACTGTTTTTATTTATTTATTCATTTATTTATTTATTTTTGAGAGGTTTCGCTATAGGGCGCGTGCGCTCGCCAGACAGACAGAGAGAGACATAGAGACAGAAAGTGAGAAATCACCCCCCAGGGGGGATGGTCATGCCGCAATCCCTTCTCCTCCATCCTCCTCTCGGGATCTTGGGCACGCATGCACATGCGCCCGGTGTGAGTTCCAAGCCACCGGGTCTGGGACACGAACCGCGGTCGACTACGTGGGAATCCAGCGACATAGCCATTACGCCAACTGCTGGTTCCCAGTATCATACTGTTTTTTGATTACTATAGCTTTGTAGTTGAAATCAGGTAATACCCCATCTTCTCTTTTTCAGTATTGTTTCAATTAGTTCAGATCCCTTGCATTTCCATGTAATTTTTTTTAAAGGATTATTTAATTTTTTTGATTAGAGAGGAAGTGAGAAAGCAGGCTGCCAGGTCTGGGACTCAAACTATGATAAGCCATTTGGGAGTCCTGCGCCTTAACCCCCATGCCACCTGACGGCCCACTTTATGTAAACTTCAGAATCTAGTTTTATAATCGAGCCAGCACCGTAGCACAGATTCCGCGTGGCCAGCTGTGGTTGCATTCTGAACCTGGTGGCTGGAAACATGCCTGGCATATGTGCAGGAGTGCTCCAAATCCTGATGGGACGGAAAACTGGAGGAAAGGGATTGCTGTGAGATCACGCCCCGTTGAGAGGGTTTTCCTTCTCATTCTCTGGCAAATGCATGTGCCCTCTGATACCACCATCACCACCAATAACAACCAAAATTTTGTAATCAGTAATTTTTTCTTGTTATTTAAAAAACCAGCCCAGATTATAGTTAGCAATTACAAATTTATTGGTCAATTTAGAGAGGATTTTTAGTATTTTTTTAAATGTTTTTATTTATTTTTTCCATGAATGACAAAAATAGGGGTGGGAGAGAGAGAGAGAACCCTTGATAGAGTCTTGAAGCCACAAACCAACCCCAGCTTTAGCTAGCCCTGGATCATGGGTATACATGTGTCCAGTGTACTCAGGGCGGTTCCCAGATGTGAATCTAGAACCTTTCCATTTGGATCAGCCTTGCAGAACGTTGCGTTCTGCCCCTCTGTTCTGCCTAGCCAAATTTAGAGAGAATTTTAAAATCTACTTTTGACACTGTTGAATCATCTAATCCATGAACCCATGTCATAGCTCAGCATTTACTTTGTTTTCTCTCAGCAGTGTCCTGTAGATGCCAGTACAGAGGTCTGATGTAGTGTGATTCCTTTTTGAGGGGAAGAAAGTGCTACCCCTCAATCGTACCTGTAGTTCTGTGTGGGTAAAGGATTGATGACTGCTGTTGTACATTTGTATGTATACACACACACACACACAGTTTGTACCTGTATTTCTTGATTTCCTACAATGATCACATATCAATTTTGTAGTAAGAGAACAAAATAAGTGGGACCAGCAGATGGTGTAATGGTTACACCGCTGGACACACAGGAAGTCGATTGCAGTTTGAGTCCTGGATCCTGCTTAAAACTCATACTGGGAATGCGTGTGTGTGCGCGTGCCCAAAATCCTGAGAGGAGAATGGAGAAGAAGGGATTGTGGCATGGCCATCCCCCACGGGAGGGGGGGTGATTTTTTGCTTTTTGTCTCTCCCCTATAGCAAAAATCTCTCTCCAAAAATGATTGATTGATTGATTGATTGATTGATAGATAGATAGATAGATAGGAACTAGTGCATTAGACTGTGTTCCATTGTTTTGTTGTTGATTCATGATTATTAATTTTTGACTAGGCCCAAATGCAGCTTTTTCTTACTTTTGGTTTGTATATAGATATATGGAAAGATACTTAGTAAATGATCTCTAGCGATGTCATTCAAACATTACTATAATCTGCTTTGTTATAGGCATTAAAATATATAGGAAACAAAGTAAGAAGGCAAAGGATGTGGGGGGGTGGCCCGAAGAAAACCAAAATAGAAGAAGCGAGAGAGCTCCTGGCTTCTACTATTCTGACCCATGTCCCGGTAAGTGACGCCTCTGCAGCTCTGAATAATCATGACTGTGGGGTCTGCGGATTCTTAAGCGGTTTCTTAAAAGAGAATTTAAAGAGGGCTCTACTGTCCCACGCAAATGACCTTCCATTATGAGCAGCTGATTTGTATGCAGAACATGTTAGCTGTACCATCACCGCCATGTTTATCTCTCATGGTTCTTTCAGCCTTTGACAGATATTTTATATTCACATATATGTTTGTGTTGCTACTAGATTTCATGGTTTCAAAGGACAGGGCTGACATCTTACATGTTTGAAAATCTGTTAAAACAAGTTTACAGTGTCTTGCTCATACTGTTTTATTGTAGTAAAATATAGATAATGTGAAGTTTGCCGTTCTGAGTGTACAGTCTTCTGGCATTAAGTACATTCACATTATTGTGCAACCACCACAATGGTAAGATACATTTTGGAATGCTTGCTGGATGAATCTTCTGTACCTTGAAATTTAGAGTTCACATTATCTAACCTCCTTCACTTACAGTGAAGATAATCTGATCCAGAAGAGCCTTGTCACCTAGTTGGTTAGTGGTTCAATAGAGGGCTAGAACTTCCTTCTGACCCTTGAACTAATGCATAATCTTACATTTTTGTTAATTTATCATTAAGCAGAGATCAGACATGTTGGCGGGAGTCTGCCCCCACCCCCATTTAATGTATATGATCTTCTTTCTAAATGATTATGTTTTTATTTGTTAGACTGTCTTGCTAACCAAATATAGTCATGCCTCAGATAACGACAGGACTACATTCAGAGAAATGTGTTGTTAGATACTTTCTTTGTTATACAAACATTAGAGTGTACTTATACAGACCCAGAAAGGATAGCCTACTACACATGCAGGTTATGTGATAGACAATTTCTCCTAGGCCACATGCCTCTGTGGTATGTTCCTGTTCAATACTGTAGGCAGGTGGATCACAGTGGACCACTGCATTGGTCCTTGTCTTGGTACCCTGGCCTCTCAGTTCCTTGGGAACCATGATTCTCAGAGAGTATTCCCTGGACTGGAAGAAGCATCAGTATTACCATTAAAAATATTTGCACTCTACCCTGGAAATACTGAATCAGAGATTCTGGGGCAAGGTCCAGTGACTTGTGTTTTAACAAGCCCTTTAAGTGATTTAATGCATACAGTCAGTCTTCTGTGGTTCTGCATCCAGGATTTCAAATAACTACTGATGGAAAAAAATTTTTAAAAAAAGTCAACTTGTACTGAACATATACAGATTTTCTTCTTCCCTAAGCAATACGTGTAGTTACTATTTATATAGCATTTACATTGTGTTATATATTATAAGTAATCTAGAGATGATTGAATACTGGAGGATGTGGGTAGGTTATATGCACGTGATACACCATTAAGGGACTTGAGCATCCACAGGTTTTTGTATCTGAGGGAATCCTGGAACCAATTCCCTGAAGATACTGAGCTACCTTTGACTGAAGTTTGACGGTTAGACTCCAGGAACTAGGAAAAGATCTCCAGAGTTCTGGTGACAACAGTGCTGTTTCAGTGTTCCAAGTCACTTGTTAGTCTTCTTTCTCTCCCTCTCTCAGATAATCCACAAGTTAACTTACCACAAAGGAATATTTGAACTACTATTGCCATTTTATCAAGAAGTGATGTCACCATTGGATTAGAGGGTTCTCACTTTCTATGAATCTGGGAATAGGCTGAAAAACTGTAGTATTAACTTATTATTTCAATTTAGATCTAGAGTTTTTTTTTTTAACTTAATTGTGGTTGAAAAAGAGAGTGAAATGAGTTAGAATATATGAATTAGAATATACTAATGTTTTTACTAATAAGCAAGGTGAATATACCAATTAGAATATACCAATATTCTCATTAACAAGAAAGGTAAATACAAAGAGAAGAATTGGTTGTTTAATGTAACTTTCTACATTAAGATCAGAAAAATCAAGAGTAAATTAGGTATACCTAAATGGAAGACCATGTGGCTTTGTAAGCATCAATCAAGAATGTTGACTATTTAGCTGTCCAGGTACTAGGAGCACGCCTGCACACGGACGTCTTATTTTTCAGACCACCAGGGTTAGCCACATGGGATTGAGCCCCCAGTGCACAGCCTTTAACCCCTGGGCAACAGGGCCAATCCAAGAGGCATTTCCTTTTAAAGACCTTTAGTATATAATTGTTCATGGGTACTATTGTAGATGACAGAGCAGCTTGTACCACATTCCAAACACGTTTCTTTTACCATATCCCACAGTTCTCAGTCATAGAGAATAAATTTACCTAGAGCTAGAAGAAATAAAATTTCCTTTGAAGGAAATGAAATTTTCGAAACACATATGAAAATATAGCACCCTATTATTTAAAGCAACAATAAAATGTGTCAAGGAGTATGCTTGCTGCTGTTCTCTTAAACCAGTATTTGATCAATTATTGGCATAGTGATAAGCAATAAAAAAAAGATCTTATTGGTATTTAACTTAATGGTAAGTTAAGTGAAAAAGGAAATTTTATGGGACCAGCAGGTGGTATGGTGGTTAAGCCGCTGGACATTCTCACATGGCCGACTAGGGTTCAAGTCCTGAATCTGGTGGCTTGCTTTCTCACTTCCTCTCTTCTCTCACTGTCACCCTGTCTCTCTCTGTCAAATTAAAAAATGAATGAATGAATAAATAAAATAAATAATTATTTTTTAAAAAGGAAATTTTATGATAGCATGTATCTTCTATGGAAAAGTCTATGAAATATTCCTTGGAGTTAGCAGAAGCTGAGGCCACATTCTCATTTACCTTTTACCTTTGTGAAAAGGATCTACCTAAGATTTTAGCTAACCAATGTGATTATTTTCTCAGTTGTAATTCAATTTTCTAATTGCACTAGATTCATTCATACAGATTTCAGGGTTTGTACTATAGAAAATTGAACATTTACAGCAAATTCACCCGTTAATCTGCTCATTCATTCAACAGGTATTTGTGTGCCTGGCTATATTTTAGTACTGTTCTTGGTATCGCTACATAACAAGCAATCAAGCAATTCCAAAATTTAATGGCTTAACGTAACTTTATCTGTCATGATTCTGCAGTTTGACTAGAATTAACCTGAGGTAGGGGAGAAAATTCTCATTTTAGGTCTCTCCTAAGGCTGCAGACAGATATAGCTGAGTCATCTGAAGGTCCAAGTGGACTGGACATCCCATGGCCTCTTCACTTGCACTGTGGCTCCTCAGTGCTTTTGCATGTAGCGTCTCTCTTCAGCAGTGTCCTGGACTTTGCGCATGGCACCTCCGGGCTCTGAGAGAGTGAGAATTGCTGGTTTACATAAAGGCTAGGCCTGAAATAGGCTTGGCACAATTTCTGCTGTATTCTTTGGGTCAGACTAATCTAAAGGGGATGAAAGACTCTACCTATACTTTTCTTTTTTGTTATAGGGCATGTGTGCTCAGCAGAGAAGGTAAGAAAACACCCCTCCAGAGGGGACGGCCAGACTTCTCTTCCAATCTGCCCTTGGGATCTTAGGCATTTGTACATATGTACACATCCAACGTGTATCCCAGGCTGCTGGGTCCATGGTTTTCTAACTGCAGTGAGCCGCATGGGACCCATCCTTAACCACCACGCTACCGTCTGGCCCTCTACCTCTGTCTCAAGTGTTGCCACATTGGGTTTTTTGTTTTTTGTTTTTTTTACTTTAGGCACTTTGAGTTTTAGTGCTCATTTTCTCAAAAACTGTCTCTAATTTCTGAATTTCAGGTTAAAGAATTCAATTTCCGAGCCAAATGTATCTATACTGCAGTGATGGTGCGGAGGGTAATCCTGGCCCAAGGAGATAATAAGGTTGACGACAGAGACTACTATGGTAACAAGCGACTGGAACTGGCAGGACAGGTGGGTAATCATTTATGCCAGAAGTCTAACGACGAGTGATATCCATTTTAGGCAGGTAGAAGAGGTGTTTAATAGGCTACAGGCTCTTTGTATGAAGCATAATCATGTTGTTATCTTGTGGACTTAGGAATTTCTTTAGATGTGGAAGTTCTGTCTTACTTTAAGTCTGTTTATAGCGTGTACTCCTATCTTTTGTTGAGATATTTACTTTCATTCCCTGTGATGTAGTAAGTGAAGTGTAACTTTAAGGATTATCATTTATTCAGTTAATAACTATTAAACACCTGTTACATTCTAGGCACAGCTCCTAATAAACAAGTAAACACTCCCCTGGCAGTTTTGGTGACACAGTAAAAGTAGGTTAGTGAGGATGTCTCTGATCTCATTTTTATTTATTTATTATTTTGGTGGGGGGAGGTTTTTGCTATAAGGCGTGTGTGCTTGCCAGAAAGACAGAGAGAGACAGAGATAGAAAGCGAGAAATCACCCTCTCCCCCCCGCCCCAGGGAGGATGGTCATGCTGCAATCCCTTCTCCTCCATTCTCCTCTCGGGATCTGAGGCACACACGCACACGTGCCTGGCATGAGTTTAAGCCACCACGTCCGGGACTCAACCGTGGTCAACTACATGGGAATCCAGCGACAGCCATTATGCCAACTATCGGTCCCTCTGATCTTATTTTAAAACTTAGCCGATAAATGATAATCTTGTTTTGAGAGTGTATTCCTTTCAACTAGGTAAGCAAGTGCCTAAAAAAGGCACCTTGGAAATGTTTCAACATTTCAGTCAGAATTTACCTTTGAATCAAAGGGTGAAATATAAATCTGGTGGCTATTGATACTTTCGTTTTTCTTTGGTTTTTAAGTTCCTGGGCATGGTTTTCTCTATTGCTTAGGGTTTACTAAATTCTTAAATCTATAAGCATATGCCTTTCACCACATATAAGAACATTTCAGGTTTTACTCTTTTTTGTATTATTCTTTTTCGTCTTTCCTCCTGAGTCTAGTTTTACTATTAGGCTTTTTGACATTTAAGTTCTGTTAATTTTTTTATTTTTTTTCTCTTCAGAATGGATTCTTTCTGTTTATATATTTATTTATTTTAATTTGCTCTAGGGGTGTGAGCTTGCTGGAGAGAGGTGGGAAGGTGTTGGGGAGCCAGGGAGTGAGAAAGAACCTGCCCCCCAGGAGGGAGGATAGTCATGCTACAATCTCTTTTCCATTCTCCTCTCAGGATTTTGTGCATGTGCTTACACAGCCTGGTGTGTTTTTCCAGTCATTGAGCCCAGGACCCAAACTGCAGTTGGCCATGTGGGGTCCAGCCACCTTAGCCACCACACTCCCTAGCTATGCCTGTTTATTATCCATTTTTTCCTTTTTTCTTTTTTAAGAATTATTTTTTTATTTAACTCCATTTGTGATTATTATTTTTTTAATTTGACCAGAGAAAGACAGAGAGAAAGGGGAAGTGAGAAAGTGACCTGCCAGGTCTGAACTCAGACCGCAGTCGGCCACGTGGGGTCCAGCTCCTTTACCCAGCACGCCGCCGGCCTGCCCTACATTTATCCACTTTTAAGTTTATTTACTCTTATGTCATCTCAAATATGCTGTTATATTTACCCAGTCAAAGTTTTAGTTTCCATTTGTAATTTTCAGTTGTAGAAATATCATTTGGGTCTTTTTTCTTGGAGAGGTTTTTGCTATAGAGCGCATGCGCTCGTCAGAAAGACAGAGATAGAGAGATAGAAAGTGAGAAATCACCCCCCAGGGGGATGGACACACCGCAATGCCTTCTCCTCCATTCTCCTCTCGGGATCTTAGGCATGCACGCACAAGCGCCCGGCATGAGTTTAAGCCATTGGGTCCGGGACTCGAACCGTGGTCAACTATATGGGAGTTCAGCAACACAGCCATTACGCTAACTGCTGGTCCCTGGATCATTTTTTATACCTTCTGTTTTTCTACTGAAATTCCTTGTTTATTTATCACAACTATACTATTATTTAATAACTGCTTTAAAATTTTTATCTGTTAATTCTAATATCTCAGTCATTTTGGAGTTATTCTCTTGATTTGGGGTCATTTTTTTTTCCTCCTTGTATCTAATAATCCTAGATTGTATCCTGATGGACATTATAAACGATGAATTGAGGAGACTCCGGATTCTGTCTTTTCCTCTGAAGAGTGTTCAGTGTTTATATGCTTTAAAGCAGTGAATTTAGCTCAAACATCTGAATCCTGTGGCCTTTCAGCACATAGCAGATGAAATATCTGTTTAGTTCTTTCAGTCATAACTAGGCTGCTTGGAATCTCAGGGGTCAGTTGAAGATCTGGGCAGAGTTTAAATGTGGAATTTGGAATTTCCTTACTAAGCTGTTGGGATAGCTCAAATCTCTCCCCCCCCTCATTCTTCAATACAGTAAGATACAGTTTCTCAAGTTTTGGCCTTCTGCTGTTACAGGGACCAGCCTGCTCTTAGATGAAAAAACCTTATAATGAGAAACTCACTTAGAACATTCTGTTTTGATAGACCTTCCTTTAACTTTCTCCAGTACATTTCAGGTAGTAATTTTATCTAATATTTTGTCCAGTTTGTATAGTTGAATCTCATTGCTCGCTGAGTCTATATTTGCAAGTTTGTAAATTTATTTGTAACCCCAAATCAGTACTTAGGGCAGTTTAGGTAGGTATTATTTGCAGGCATGTGCGGAACATCAAAAAAAAAAAATAGTCACTGTACATTCATTTTCTCACCTGAATCTAACAAAGCAAATCTAACAATGCTCCTTCTTATTTCAGCTCTCAAAATGTAAATAAGTGGGGTTTTTTTTGTTATTTTGGTTTGTGTTTTTCTGACTAATGGTGTTAAATTTATCTTTTCTTGTGCTTTTTGGCCATATGTATATCTTCTTTGGAGAAATGTTTATTCGAGACCTTGGGTTGTGGGACTAGCAGATGGAATAATGGTTACGTTGTGGGACTCCCATGTAATTGACCATGGTTCGAGTCCTGGACCTGCTAGGATTGTGGCATGCCCATACCCCCCAGAGGATGATTTCTCCTTTTCTATTTCTGTCTCTCTGGAGAGCACATGTGTCTCTCTCTCTAAAAAAAAAAAAAAGTGACCAGCAGATGGTGTAAATTTTTTTTTTCATTGTTGAGTTGTAGGAGTTCTTTATATATTCAAGATATATCAAAATACATTATCAGATATGTGATTTGGAAATACCTTCTTTTCTGTTGTAGGTTATCTTTGTACTTTCTTGAGAATATTCTTTGATCCACAAAGTCCAATTTGTCTATTTTTTTTTTTAATCTCCTATTGCCTATGCTTTTGGTGTTGTATCCGTGAAATTGTAGCCAAATCCAGTGTCACAAAGATTCTGCCAGTATTCTGTTCTAGGAGTTTTTTAGTTTTAGCTCTTAAGTTTAGGTCTTTAGAGTAAGAATTTTGTTAGATGCACAATTCTAGATTGATATTTATTATCTCTCACCATTTGAATCCAGGCTTTGTCATTTGCTAATGTTTTGTTTCGATTTCCTTTTTGCTTTTGTTTTTTTGCTGTAGGGCACATGAACTCGCTGGAAAGAGACAGAGAGAGAGAAAGCAAGAAACCACCCCTTCCCGGGTGTATGCCTTGCCACAGTCTCTTCTCCATTTTCCTCCTGGGAGTTTGGGGGCACATACACACATGTGTGTCATGTTCCTCAAGCCACAGGGTCTGAGCCTTAAACTGCAGAGTTGATCATGTGGAATCCAGCAGCCTTAACCACTATGCCACTGGGTGGTCCTTGTATTTTTATTTCAACTTAGGCAATTTTTTTTTTTCCCTGGCTATAAAATGGGGTTAAAACTCTTACCTTAAAGGACAGTTAGAGGGTTAAATTAGTGATGTTTATAGCACTTTGACTTGCACAGAGTTTAATTCTAATTTCTTTGTCAGTAGTCTCTTATTTCTCTAAGTATTTTTAAGATGTTCTTTTAGCTATTGTTTTGCAGTATCTTTGTGATATGGTTTGGTATACTTTTTATTTATTTTTCTTGATACATGTGTGTTTCTGCTATCCACAGATTAATGTCTTTAGTTCAGAAAAATTCTCAGCTATTTTCTCTTCAGATGTTGTCTATCTTCCCTTCTGTCTGCTCTCACTTTTAGTTGCCAGTTATACATGTTTTAGATCTTCTCATTTTTTTCTCCATATCTTAACCTTTTTTTCTCTTTTCTCTATCATCTTTGTTCTTTTACATGCATTTTGTATACTGCTATTCTAATGTAACTCCTAGTTTATTGTCCATTCATCCAAGTTTAATCCATTGAGCTTTTTGTTGTTTACATTTTAGAAATTCTTTTTCATGTCCTTGTGGGTTTATTTTATTTTAACTTTACATTTTATGATAAAAATCCTTAAACTTTCAGAAATGTTGGAAGAATGATTTTATGTCATTTTTTGTTCCATTATTTACATAGTTATTTTTATTCTACATTTAATACTATATTTTAGTGACTCTAATATGCCATCAGTGATAAGATGTGCCACTACTTTTATTACCACTAAGAAAGAAAACAACATGACCAGTTGAATTATGCCACAGGGCTGAGATATCAGAAATTATAAGATGCATCCTGGGATGCAAAAGTTAATTCTAATATCGAATGTTCAAAAGCTGCTGTGGTTGTTACTTTTGAAGACTGTCACTCCTGGTAGCTTGGTTCTTTTATGAGTTCAATGATCTTTGTTTTTGAACTCAGATGAACTCATATTTAATTGATTTTAGATCCTGGGGGTATGAACTAGAGATATTTTCTTTCAGGACTAGCAGATAGCGTAATGGCTACATCGCTGGACTCCATGTAATCTACTGCAGTTTGAATCCTGGTCCCAGTGGCTTAAACTCATGCTGGGCGTGTGCCCAAGATCCCGAGAGGAGAATGGAGGAGGAAGGATTGTGGGATGGCCATCCCCTGGGAAGTGATTTCTCGCTTTCTGTCTCTCTTTCT